TATTTATTATGTATACAATATTCTGTCTGTGTGTCTGCCTGAAGTCCAGAAGAGGGCATCAGATCTCATTTCAGATGGTTGTGAGCCACCATGTGGTTGCTGGGAATTGAACTCAGGACCTTTGGAAGACCAGGCAATGCTCTTAACCACTGAGCATAATGACTCTTTCTTTCACCCCTAACTGTGACAACCAATCACAATCACACAGTTGGTACTGCTATAATACTCACTTTCAAAGAACAAGTTTGTCCCAATGTAACCGATGTATTAAAAAAGAATTTAGCATAATGCCAATTTTGCATTTGTTTCTGTCATTTTTCCAAATGATATACTAGATGTGCCAGATGTGGTAGTGGATACCTCTAATCCCAGTACTTGGGGAGTGGAGGCAGGAAAAGTCTAAGTGCTATGCCAGCCTGGGCTAAATAGTGAGATTCTTACAAAGATAGAGGAGATAAAGGAAGCTAAACTTGGCTGAACAGGGAACTCTGTCAGATCATATAAAATGCATGCATGCACATCTACAACACATCTAACAGCCAATACTAAGATCATCATACATGTTACAGCCACATCCTTCTGGTTACAGCTTCCAATTTGATTTCGCAGTCTCCTGCCCCCAACCCCCTTCACAATAATTCACCAACTATAGCCCTTCTTACATCTATTTCTACATGCAAATTTTAGATTTGTTTATTCAAAGCGCTATTATAGCATTTATGTATTTCTTAATCATTTAACTGAAACTGTACTATCAATTAAAGTAAATGTCTGTCATTCTTTGTTATGTTATGATGGAGTTTCGGTGTGATGCACTTCCTAGGTCATTTCTACTGGACGACTTTCCTTAGTCTAAGAGATTTTGTTGTTTGGTCTGGATTTTGAGACAAGATCTTACTCTGTAACCCAGATTAGTCTTTAACTCTATAGCTCAGGCTGGCCTTGAATTAAAGGCAATTCTCCTGTTTAAACATGCTAAGTGCTGGGATTACAAACCTGGGTGGCCACATCTAGCTAGTACAGGGATTTTTAGGAACCTGTATGTTTGTATCATAACAGAACTGACTACACCATTCAACATTTTACAACCATCCCAGTTCTCTATAATGATATTTTATTTATTTATTAATAAATAAAGCTAGCCTGAAGATCAGAAGGTAAAACTAAATCACTAGAAGGCAGGCAGTGGTGTCACACACCTTTAATCCCAGGATTTGGGAGACAGGTAGATGGATCTCTGTGAGTTCAAGGACACTCTGGGCTATATAAAATCAGTGCAGAAACAGATCTAGGTGGTGGTGGCTCACACCTTTAATCCCAGTAGTAGGGAGTCCCATGCCTTTAATCCCAGCACTAAAGGGGAATATAAAACAGGAGGAGACAGAGGCTCAAAGTTCAGTCTGTAGTTGCCCAGCCTTGGTAGAGATAAGACTTCTCTAGTGGCTTGGCTGCTTTGCTTTTCTGATCTTCAGCTTGAACCCCAATATCTGTCTCTGGGTTTATGATTCATTCTGCAGTTCTCTACCTTCCACATCTAGCCATATAAACCAAGCAACTGCCATGTTCCACCTGGACTATGGCAATGGTCTTATTTTATAGTTCTCAACCAGCAACAGTGCTCTCCCTTCCCACCCCCCATGAGCTACTGAGGATCTGTGTGTATGTGCATGTACATATTTGGTTGTACAATCACAGTTGAGAATCGAAACTGGTATTTGATAAACATAGGCCTGAGATGCTACAAGTTCAGTAATGTTACCCCAAAAAATGTTTTAAATGTCCCACCTACAAACACCAAATCCAAATCCAATTAGAAAAACCAGTAATTGGTCTCTTACAGTTTTCTATATAGCAGCCACAGAATCTTTTCTAAAACTCAAATGAGATGGACATGGTGGCTCACGTCTATAATTTCAACACTGAGTACTAAGGCAGGAGGAATGTTGGAAGTTTAAGGCCAGTTAGGCTACAGCAAGAGACGTCTATCTCAACACAAAACAAAGAAGCAAATGAGTTAAATTTTTCTTTTAATACCTTCTCAGTAGCTCCCCTTCATCCTAAAGACAAGAGCCAAAATCAAAACACGGTCTACAAGCTCTGGCCTCAGCTTCTGGCTTCACCTCATGCCCCTTTCCTCTTCTCACAGCCCCTATGTCTTGGCAGTCAGAAAATGGAATTAAGTTTCCCTGTACTGTGAACCATTCAAAGTGATGGGGGTAGTACAATGAACAAGAGGCAAAAATTCTGTCTTCTCAGCTTTTATAAAGATGCCAGGCATCGCCTCACCTCAGGGCTTCCCCATATGCTGCTTCCTAAGCTTGGCCAGATCCTCCTTCAGACTAGAATGTAGATATCCTTCCCCAGGACACTACTCTCGGACTCTACCTCAATAAATCTAATTTTTTAGTTCTTTCTTAAGCTATCCACAGCTCTCAATGGTCCTATACATGTCTAGGTCCTAAAAATGGTCCTAGACAGAAGTGAAATGATGTTCAGCAGTCACCTTCTCTGTTATAGTTCCAGAACTTAACACGGTACCTGACACACAGAAAGCGCTCCAGAGTGTGTTTATGGGTGAGTTGTATTTGTTATATCTTTGTGCTCTATGGGTATATGTATAGACACTATGTCTACATGTATTTCCCAGTATTTCTGCAGATGACTAAGCTTATGTGAAAACACACATATATATATATGTGTGTGTGTCTGTGTGTGTGTGTGTGTGTGTGCGCACATGCATGTGTATTCTCTTATTCCTTAGTAACATTTCTAATCTCTTCAAAAGAGCTGGGAGCACAGCTTCAAGTCTTAAAGTTGACAGCTCAATAAAAACCTAAGATCATTCAACAGCATCCCAAATGTCAGCCAACTGTGGCTTTTGCCACTCTGCTACAGGGGAAGTAGGTGGAGGTAGGAGATGTCAAAACACAGCTGTTGGAAAATTCCCTTTTCTGAGGCAGCCCACAGTTTCTGAAGGAGAAGAGTTTCTCATTTCTTCTCAGAATAGAGGCCTTTGGAAATGCGGACTCACATACTCACACACCTGAAGCACAATATAGGCTGGGGCTAGAGAGGAAGGGATCAGATTCCTTGTTTTGCCCAAGCCTGCTTGGATTACCTCACAAGAAGAAAATAAATACAAGGTTAACTGGAAATAGCGTCCTCAGTTTCCCTTTATACCCATTCTTTTCTTCCATATCTTGGCAGTCCAGTAGAAAATTGATTGAAGAGGTTCAAGACAGCCTAAAGCACCAAGGTGACCCTAGTGTTACCATATGGATCAGCTACTCTCCTGCCCTTCTGCCTAGGAACCTAAAGGCAGAGAGTTATCACACACAACATTCTAGTGAACTTCACAGAGTAATTTTTAATGGTCAGTGCCTGCCTCGCCTGGCCGGGCCTTCACATTGCATTTGTTGAGGCTGGCAAGCAGTCTCAGATAAGTTTTGACAGCTGGCACACTGTTTTCCTGGACAGTATGTCTATCTACACATGCATGCTCCACCCAAGAGGGTCTCTATGAAGCTAGTTCTCAGTGAGGAGGTGGCCAGCAAGCATACACACTCTGAGTCTAGCTGATCCCAGTCCAGCCACTGAGGCTAGAACCAGGCTCTGTCTCTGTGCCCCAGAAGGACACACCTGGAAGTAAATGAGAATGGATTCATTGCTAACTGAGTTCATTGACATTCCAAGTTCAGGGAGCCTCGCAGCAAGAGAAGCTCAGCAGAAGTGATGTCTGAACCGCATCTTCAGAGAGAGGTTATGTGCCTGATGATGGCAACAAATGCAAGAGGCGTGTTTCCTGAAGGGAGACAGCCAGACCAAGGCGCACGCTAGGACAGCCTAGTCTCCTCAGTCAAAAGTGAGATCGTGTCAGAGACTCTGCTTTGTGAGTGACCATCAGGAGGTGGTGGGACAGAGAACGAAGAAGAGTACAAAGGATGCACACGAGGGAAAGGAAAACAAAGATGGGACCAAGTCCACCGTCACCCTTGTGTGGAGCAAATACTCACAGAACTAGTTCCCTACTGTTCTTCTATATCCATGTTTAGTTTTGGCCACCCACAAAAGCAGGTTGCTCTTTCTGCCTACAAGGCAGTCTCCTCCTGGCATACTCCCCTTCCCTGGATACCCAGTCTAAGATCCCAATCTTCACAGTGACCTCGCAATGGCCTCTTTTCCGTAAGCCTACAGGGAGCCTCCATCCTGACCCTGCTGTGCTTTCCCTTCTTCAAGATCCTTGAGAGTCACTAAGCTGCCTGGATGCCTCAAGTAGATCCCGAGGCTGCTCTAGGAGAATGACATGTGGGCATCATTCTCCTAGCGGCTGGGGTCTACTGGAGCAATAATTCCTCTAGAGCAAGGAACTAAGAAATCCATTACTACATTACTTCTTTTGTTCACCTAGGAAGCACAGCACCTGCTAGGGAAGGCTGGTTTCCTGGTGACTCACTATCAGGGAACTGTCCAAGCTATACAGGATACTTTTGAGGCCCACAACCCTATGCAAACTCTCCTAGGCCTACAAAACTGTATTAGTGCCAAGATCCTCCTTCATGCTCCAAGGGTCTAGCTTTCATTGTCCTCCCCTACATGAAAAAGGCTCTGCTAGGGCCAGGTAAGAGCAAAGTCAGCTTAGGCAAACCCCTCTTCCTAACTAGAGTACAGAGACCACACCCAGGAGTATATAAAAAAGATCAACAAGTATCATGCTTCTCCTAGTGACAGCACAGCCCAGCCCAGAGATTCAGAAAGAAAAAAAAAATCTCTCTAACTGGGACTTCTATGTATGTTTGGAAGATACCAATCGGACTCCACCTACTAGTAGTTGACATTTAAGCAGCTCCCCATCCCCAGAAATATCAACATTTCAGTGCATTACTACCCAGGGAAGAGAAAAAAGGGATACTGAGAAAATAAAGAAAAGGAAAGACACAAGAGTTGGGGGGTGGGGGGAAGTACAGGAGAACCAGCGGCTCTGGGTGAAGCTCAGATGGTACCTTTTTCAGATTAATCCACTGCTTGAAGTAATCCGCCACTGGCAGGCCTAAATAATGGCACTGGCCTGGGAGCCTACAAAAAAAGGGGAGAAAACAAGTTGGAAACACATATGTCCCAAGTGCAGAGTCTTAAGTTACAAAGCAAAAAACAAAACAAAACAAAGTCTACAGAACAAAGAGAGCACAGGGTCAACACATCAGCAGGGTCCCCAGCTGAGGAAGATATCCCACCTCCAGCACCATGGATACTGGGCTCAGGGGCATTCCTCAGAGCCAAATGTGAGTTTTCAGAGATATTACATAGAATAACATCAGCTGCTACTACTTCCTAATTTGTTAAATTCTATTTTTTACACGTGAAGGATTTTATGTACATTGTCCCTCAAAGTGATCCTATGAGGTAGGTATTGTAGTCTATTGTGGTCTTCCTGCTGCTGTTCTAGAGGTGTCTGTTTTAGATTTATTATTTTATATGCATGAGTGTTTTTGCTCAGACATATGTCTGTGCATCACGTGCCTGGTGGAGAGGTCAGAAGAGGATATCAGATCTCCTGGAACCGGAGTTACAGATGATTGTGAACTACCATATGAATGCTGAGACTTTAACCTGGGTCCTCTGCGAGGACAGTAAGTGCTCTTAACCATCGAGACACTTCTCTAGCCCGTTTGATTGTTTGCTTCAGACAGGATATCACTCTATAGTCCTAGCTGGCCTGGAACTCACAATGTAGACCAGGCTAGCTTCAAATTCAGAGATCTACCTGCTTCTGCTCAGTGCTGGGATTAAAGGCATACACCACCACACCCAGCTCCTGGTATGTGTCGTTTGTTTTTTTTTAAACAGGGTTCCATGTAGCCCTCCTGACTCCAGCTCCCAAATACTAGAATTAGAAACCTGTGCCACTACACTTTTAGGTAGTGTTAGGGTCAAACCCAGGGTGTCAGGCATGCTAGGTAAGTACTCTAACAACTGGACTACGTTCCCAGTCCTCCAAAAGAGCAGCAAGTAAAGAGGCTTCTCTTTTTAAAAACCGGTATCTCAGGTATGTATCAGTAATAGAAAACTGACAAAAAAAAAAAAAAAAAAAGAAAAAGAAAACTGACTAACACAGGGCTCAAGAAGGGAAAATGAGTCTTCAGAAATTATGCCGAAAAACAAAAACAAAACAAAAACCGGGTATGGTGTCACATGCCTTTAATCCCAGCACTTCGGAGAAAGAGGCTGGCAGATCTTTGAGAGGTCAAGACCACTCTGGTCTACACAGTGAGTTCTAGGACAGCCAAGGCTACATAATGGAGAGACCCTGTCTTAAAAGAAAATAAATTACAGAGAACACGACTTCCACATCTTCATCTACTGTAATCAGACTGGTGACGACCCTAATTGTCATCACAGTGCATTTATCCAGTAACTGATGAAAATAGATGCAGAGATCCACAGACAAGCACTGGGCCGCGCTCTGGGAGTCCTTCTGAAGAAAGGGAGGAGGGACTGTTAGAGTCAGGGGAGTCAAGGTTATAACAGAGGAACCCACAGTAACAGCTGACCTGTGCTCATGGGGGCACATGAACTCTGACCAACAGTTAGGGAGACTGCCAGAGATTAATCTAGGCCCTCTGCATGTGTGTGACACTTGTGTAGCTTGATCTGTTTGTAAGACTCCTCACAGTGAGATTAGGACCTGTCCCTTGCACTTAGCTGTCTTTTGGGAACCTGGTCCCCATGCTGGGTTACCTTGCCCAGCCTTTACACAGGGAGAGGAGCTCACTCCTGCCTCAACTTGATGTGCCATGCTATGTTCAATCCATGGGAAGCCTGTCCTTTCTGAATGGAGATAGATGGGGAGGGGGAAAGATGAGAGCTGTGGGTAGGGAATGGGAGGAGGAAGAGGAAACTGTAGACGGTATGCAAAATAAAGGAAAAAAATGTTAACTAAACAAAAAAAGAGAGAGAGAAAAGACTTCCACATCTTCTTCCCAGAACCTTCCTAAGATCCAAGAGCTCAGAAAGTTTTCCACCTGCTACCCTTCTCCAGGCCACAGGCCTTGTGTCTCTGCACGGTTCCTAAGAGACAATGCTTTATGAGTCAAGACTCTCTCAACTCATTGCCCCTTCTCATGACATCAGGAACCTGAGGTCACATATGCCCTTTTGACTCCACTTCCGATCACTTGTGGTTAGCCTAAATTCTCAAAGCATGCATTCCTTTTCTGTAATACAGAGAGCTGGTATTTTTGTTTGTTCTGTTTTTCAAGACAGGGTTTCTCTCTGTAACAGCTCAGGCTGCTTTGGAATTTGTTTTGTAGAACACAGAGATCCACCTGCCTCTGCTTCCCGAGTGCTGGGATTAAAGGTGTGCGCCACCACTTCTGGCCATAGAGCTGATTTTTTAGCTTAAAATCAAGTTATTAGTGTCAAATGTTATAGAGTGATCAAATAAGATGAGACGTGAGAAAACCCAATGGACTTCATAATCTGGAGGCCCCGTGAACCTAGCGAGCAGTGTTAACAGCTGCAGGCCAGGCAAGGAAGAGTAGAGGGAAGAACCACTGAGAGACAGGGGATGGAGAACACAAGCACAGGCCCGTTTCCTTAGGAACTGAGGCTAAGAGAATCTAGTTGAAACAAGTTTACCTCAGGAAGTTGAAGGGAAATCTAACCTTCCTTTCATCACCATTCAAATATTTGACAGATACTAATAGGAAGTTAACCTCAGGAGTAAACTAAGATGCATGACATCTTTCTTTTGAGACAGGGACTTTCTACATAGCCCTGTCTGTCCTGAACTCTTTCTGTAGACCAGGCTGGCCTTGAACTCAGAAAGATCACCTCTGCCTCTGCCTCCCGAGTGCTGAAATTAAAAGCGCATGTCATCACACCTGGCACTTTCTGGAGTGGCAGGTTCCTTTCAAAGACAGGTGGCACAGCAACATTATCTGTAACTAGCTAGCTTTCTGGAGGAGAATTTCTGGCTGATGAAGGGGTATCCAGAAGTGGTATGTCCACATAGGGCCAAGGATCTATGCAATTGGACTGTTTAAATCGTATCATTTGCTTCTTTTTCTTTGATGCTCCTTATCCTTTGTGTCCTAGAAAATGACTGCTAAGAAAAATCACACTGAGTTCTATTGTGGAGAGGCCTCAAAACAAGGAGGAACAAAGGGACCTAAACCAGAAAAGGGCAGGCAGCCCCAAGGGATTCCCTTTTCTGTGGCATTTTTCTAAAAGATTATTTATTATTATTTTAAGATTATTATTTTTAAGATATTTATTTATTACATATACAGTATTCTGCCTGCAAGCATACCTGCACCCCAGAAGAGGGCACCAAATCTCATTATAGATGGTTGTGAGTCACCATGTGGTTGCTGGGAATTGAACTCAGGACCTCTGGAAGAAGAGTCAGTGCTCTTAACTGCTGAGCCATCTCTCCAGTCCCCTTTCTGGGGGATTTCAATGGTACATGACAACTATAGACAACACCTCCAGGTAGGAAGGGTCTAGACCAGTGGGATCCTGCCTGCTCCTCTCCACAGGAGCTAGAGTGAGAACAGACCAGAAAGAAAGATCATCTAAACAGTCATTCATATCTAAACATGGGTTTTTATTGCTGTAAAGGGACACCATGACCACAGCAACTCTTACAAAGGAAAACACTTAATTGTAGGGACTTGTTTACAGTTTCAGAGATTCAGTCCATTATCATCATGGCAGGGTGCATGGCAGGCTCTGGTTGGGAGTCCTAATGGTGTAGGACACTGGATCAAACTGGGGTCAAGGGAGTCGGATCAAGCGCAAACTCTCCAGGACAGTGTCTCCCCCTCTTGGGCCCCTCCAAGGCTCTGTTGAGGAGCAGATAAAGGGGTGTCCTGGAGCCTAGCTCCCTGCGTGATTTACATAGGAGCTCATAATAGCACCTACTGGTAGTAAATAATCAGATATAAAATTTTATCATTTAATTAACCAAAAAAAAATAATGATCAAGGGCCCTGGGAAGAAGGAAGCCTGGTCACCCCCACGTTAGCTGCTACTGTGGACATGGAGTGGATCATTACTGGATCTGTTCTCATTCACCCCATAGGTGTAACCCTCATTGTTCCTGCATCATAGACAGGCAAGATGGGGTCTGGAGAGGGCAAGGCAGCCAGGAGTTCCTCAGGAGCCACTCAGCAGCCTGGAGTAGGATCCTGTGAACCCCAAATCCAAGACTCAGTCCTTCTACTCTGGCTGATTCCATTTTCCAGCTCAGGATCAACTCATGCATCCTCCCCGTGAATGCCTCTTGGACTGCTATGGTCATGAAGCCACTTGGAGGGGCCCTCGGATGAGGGTTGTTTGAGGCAGTGAATGGCATATGGGACTTCTGGGGTGCAGCAGACATGGTGCTGCAGAAGTGGCTCAGAGTCCAACATCTTTCAGGCAACAGGAAACCACCTGAGATACTGGGTGGTATCCTGAGCGTAGGAAACCTCAAAGCCTGCCCCTACAGTGACACATTTCTTCCAACAAGGCCATACTCACTCATTTCAACAAAGCCACACCTCCTAACAGGGCCACCCCCTATGAGATTATGGGGCCAATTACATTCAAACTCCCACAGACCAGCAGCAATCCTTAGTGCCTCTCTGTACTCTATATCTGACTGAAGTATGAAGGGGGAACTCCATGCATGATTTTGCAGATCTAAGGAGAAGAGTAGGGTTGCTAGTGCTCCTCTGAATATTCCAGTCTTGTGACTCCCAGCATAAACAGTACAAATATAGTAGGGCCCAGACTCTTCATGAAAGATAGAACCAAGAGCTAGAACCTGAACTTCCAGGTGTCTCATGGGACAATAGCTAGACATCTTTACCATATCCCAGCATAGAGAACACAAGGCGGGTTAGAGTGATCACCACTCCCTACACAAACGAGGAAACAGATTCAGTGAAGACAAAGAATTTGTTCAATCATGTAACAAGTCAAGAACAGAACTAGAAATGAACTCTAAGGTTTCTGAATACATGGGTGCCAATTGCACTTATTCTCCTAGAGACTTTGACTCATCCTTGAGAATGCAAAGCTTGGAACCT